TTTTTTTTAAGATTTATTTTATTTATTTGAGAGACAGAATGCATGTGTGAGTAGTGGGGAGGGGCACAGGGAGAGAGAGAGAGAGAGAGGATCTCAAGCAGACTCTGCACTGAGCACGGAGCCCCTGAGATCATTACCTGAGCCAAAACCAAGAGTTGGACACTTAAGTCACTGAGCCATTCAGGTGCCCCCAGAAATTGGAATGTTTTTAAAGAAAGCATAAACTGCCCAGTTTGGCCATAAGCCTCACCACTTCCTAGTGTCTTCCAGACTCTATCACAGATTTTGTCACCTGCTTGGGTCCTAAGGCAGTAATTCTGTCACCTCCTCTAAACTTTTCCTTTTACAGACAAGAGAACAAGAATCTAAGAAGAGTTTACTGACTTGCCTAAGGTGACACCGATGTTTATCAGTAAAGCTACAGTCGGATTTTAGTGGCCTGACTTGTAGTTCCATAGCCTCCACTGCGTCCACTATACTCTTACGGAAATTCAATCTAGAACCCAGAACATGATGTTGAAAACAAAAGAGGAACTAGCATAAAAAATGGATGTGGAAAATAATGATGTTATACTTGTCACAGTCTATGTTTGTTTTCTTTACCCTCCCCCCGGCAGCCAAAGGTGGTTACGAACTAGGTAAATAGGTGAGTCACATAGAGAGTGTTGTTGACACAAATGTACCTACAGGTAACACTGCAGTAATAAGGTAGACACAATTCTGTTATTAAGAATGGGACACTGCTTTTCTAACAGGTTCTCTCCTTTCTATTATCATATTCCTACATTCAGGGCACAGAACTTAGAACAGCCTGGATTCCCTGTTACATTGGTTTTTCTGACCCTCTCTTGGCTACAGGCTAGTTTATTTTATACCTCGTGGCCTTTGTACAATGATGTGGTGGATTTAAATGAGAGGAGGGGTATTTGCTACTCTCCCCAGTTCCCAATATAGTTCTCAATCAATCCTTAATGCTTGCTGCCTACATTCGCTGTAAAGAGAATGAGTACCTAACCATCCTGCGGGAGACCTCCCAAGCCACTTCCACCTCTAGATTCAGCTCCATGATTCCCAGGGTACCTGTTTTCCCCACACTGGAATCTTTCAGATCATCTGCTGTGAAGCAATAATAATTGCAGACCAGTGAGGCCGTGGGGGGAAGGGGGAGAACAGTGGGGCAATGAAGCCTTACTTTGAAGGAAAATCACTATTTCTCTCTAATTTCTTACAATGAGGGCACAAACGATCCAAAGCAAGAGATAAAGAGTGAATACATCTGAAAAGTATAAGGAAGGGAAAAGGTAAGAGGGGAGTGTGAAGTCTGCCAGTGGGTTCCCTCCTTCCACAGCTGCTTAAGGTCATGAGTCAAGGAGAAGTAAGAATTGCACTTTGGTTTTAAAAGAAAGCAAGCACAGGCACCCGGGTGGTGCCTTTGTTTAAGCCCCCAAATCTTGGTTTCAGGTCAGGTGGTGATCTCAGGGTAGTAAGATTGAGCCCCTTGTTCAGCTCTGAGATGCTCACTCTCTCTCTCCCTCTGCCCCCCAAACTCTCAAATAAATAAATCTTTAAAAAATAAAAATAAAAGAAAGTAGCTTTGACTCTGCCTTTCAAATCAGAACTTCAAATCCTTGGGACGCCTAGGTGGATCTGTTGGTTAAGTGTCTGCCCTGGGCTCAGGCCCTGATCCTAGGGTCCTGGGATCAAGTCCCACATCAGGACCTCCCACTGCTTGTGCACTCGTTCACTTTCTCTCACAAATAAATAAAATAAAGCCTTAAGGGGAAAAAAACAAAAAAAAATCAAATTCTTAATATACTATAAAAGTACTTAAAATTACATTTAAAGTAATGAGAAAAAGCTCTAAAAATAAGGAATTAGCGTAGAAAACTGTGAAAGCATTTTGCATTTTTATATGGCTACTTCCTGGCTGAATATAAATGAAGGAATATTAATAATAATTACACGTACAATTATGAAGGAACCAGAAGAATAACATGTGAGGTAAGACCAAGAATACTTATTAGTCTTTGTTTAAACATGAAATAGGCAAAACATTTTGGGGAAGTAATGGCAGATAGACAAAACCAAACAAAGCAACAAAACCAAAACAAAATAAAACAAAAGAACTTCAAATCGTGTTTTATCTGATTGTATAGTAACAAGTTCTCAAGTCACTAGGCACAAACACTTAAATAATGAAATTCCACATGGAAAATAATGCCACCATACTTTGTTTATTCAGAAGCACACATTTTGACTTCAAAGGGAATTATCCTATTCAAAAGTCCTAATTTATATGTGTGAAGCAAAGAACTTCTGACTGTACTTTAACTCAGGATTAGCTATTTCCTTCCATAAACTGTTATATAAACTACACATAAAAGTTAAAATGCTACTAAATAAATAATAAAATAAGTCTTGAAAACCCACCAAAAAAGTCAGGTTCCATTTCTTGTTTCACCGTCAAGCCATCACTTTAATAAAGATTTTTTTTTTTTTATTTGACAGATACAGATCACAGGTAGGCAGCGAGGCAGGCAAAGAGAGAGAGGAGGAAGCGGGCTCCCTGCCGAGCAGAGAGCCCGATGTGGGGCTCGATCCCAGGACCCTGGGATCATGACCTGAGCTGAAGGCAGAGGCTTTAACCCACTGAGCCACCCAGGCGCCCCAAGCCATCACTTTAAAAAAACAAAAAAACAAAAAAAAACAAAAAACCAACTTTAACTTTTTTCTCTGCTTCATGTTTGCTTTTGACTATAACTGTTTTTACGATCTTATACGGTTGTCACGCTAAACTTAAAATTTACTTTAAAATGTTTCACCTGTGAATGAAAACTCTCCACTCTAAATAATTACTGAAAGCAGCACTCATTTGAAATTAACCACCTATTGCACTAAAAAGCCCTATTAAGCCCCCACTGCTTAGATAACGTTTCAAAATAAGGTAAGAGGAGACAAAGTATTAGCAGAAACTTATAACTAAAAACAAATTTTTACCAGCCTCAAAAAAAATCACTCGTTATCCTTGTGCACAGTGCACCTCTTGCTTTCAAATGAAAAGTCAGAAGTGGTTATTTTTGTATCTAACAGCTTCTGAAACATCAGTAGGCTGAAGAGAGTATTCATCAAGACCAATTATTCTATTCTTGCAGTTTGAATATTGAGAATGTTGACAGTTTACAACACTGTTGACAGATGGAAACAATACATAATAACGCTTACAAAATCTAGAGTCACTAGAAGATAAACTTTCTCATCTCCTCAAAAAATCTTCACTTTGCTGCAAGAACCAATTATAAGTAGCAGCGGACTTTTAGCGAGTGCTTCTTATGTGCCAAGCACTACTCTTTACCCTTATTCTCTATCATAATTATCTGTAATTATTTTGTTTATTGTCTTTCTCCCCCACAATGCAGAGGCTCCGTGTGGACAGAGACTCGGTCTACCTCTTTATTGTATCCCCAGCACCAAGCATGCCTTATACATAGTAGCCACAACATTTTTAAGTGACTCATTGTTCTAAACACTTTAAATAATTTTTTTAAACTGTTGGTCATGGGCACCTGAGTGGCTCAGTCAATTTAGCATTTGCTTTGGTCATGATCCCAGAGTCCTGGGATCGAGTCCCACATCCCGCTCCCTGCTCAGCAGGGAGTCTGTTTCACCCTCTGCCTCTGACCCTACCCCTGCTCATGCTCACTCTCTCTCTCTCTCTGTGTCAAATAAATAAATAAAATCTTTAAAAAAAAAAAAACAAAACCTGCTGGTTATGATCTAAAGGGTTAAGAAAATGCAAAAGAATAGAGTGTATTACATTTAGTAGAATATTCTCCAGTGAAACTTTTATATGCATATGTATATGTCCCACATAAAATGTATTTATCAATGGGTAACAATTTTTTTAAAAAAGCTGAAAAATCAGTGCTTTATGTGTATTATTTCATTCGCTCCTCACAAATAACCCTGTAGACAATACCATAACTTCCTCTTTAAAATAATAGTACTGAGATTTCCAGATAGTATATATGATGTCCAAGACGACAGAACTATTGATAAGTACAAACATCACTCCTATAAAGTCTTTGATCCCTAATGACACTAAGAAAATCTGAATTAGGGGCGCCTGGGTGGCTCAGTGGGTTAGGCCTCTGCCTTCAGCTCAGGTCATGATCTCAGGGTCCTGGGATGGAGCTCCGCATTGGGTTCTCTGCTCAGCGGGGAGCCTGCTTCCCCCTCTCTCTCTGCCTGCCTCTCTGCCTCCTTATGATCTCTCTCTCTGTCAAATAAATAAATAAAATCTTAAAAAAAAAAAGAAAATCTGAATTAACCAAATAAGGTAACAGTAATAGTAACCATGACATGATTAATAAAGAAAAAAACGGGCTTTTAAGGCAGTCAGTTGTGACTGAATTTAATACCTGGTTCTGCCACTAACCAGCTGTGTGGACTTTGGGCTAACTCAACCTCTTTCCACCTTGATTTCTCCAGGTGTAAAAGAGGGATATTCATAACGTTGCTGTGAGTTTAAAATGATTTGATATATGTAAATAGCTTAGACCACTAAATGGAAGCTTTTGTGATTAAAATAATTAGTATTTTCTTTTACGTGGTCCGATAAATCACATTCAGCAGCCCACACCACTACCTTAATGTGTAAAAAGCGTGAATCAGGAATTTACTGGATTAAAATTAGGGATGTGGGCAAGAGTGCACTGGAGCCACCCAAAAGTTTCTGCTGGCCTTGGGTGAGAACGATGCCTATGTCAAGCTCAGGGAGTTGGTTCAGGTAACTATGGGAATCAAGGGGGAAACTTACTGCTTCACGGTAAAAACAAACGCAAACTATTTCATTTCTGCTCAAGGACCACAGCACCATCCATCTTCTTCCTCTGCGTCCTGGCTGGGGCTGAACCGAGGTGTTAGGAAACGCACCTGGCCAGCTCCCGCCCACTAGGCCCTGGGACCCAGGGGCTAGGGCACAGAGGTTCGGCGCAACTCACCCCGGAGACTCCGTTGATACTGCCCCAGAATCTCCTCCAGGGTAGAGTTCTCCGGGGACTTCGCCATGCACAGACCTGGGACCAAGAGATGGGAGTCACGTGGGGAAGTGTCCAGTGTCGCCCCTCGGGGAACAGGAGGCCTTGGCGCCGAAGAAGCGCCCGCCTGCTTCCTGCCGCTGCTGTCATTGGGGAGCATGGAACCCCGGACAGAGCTCGCGGGGGGCCCTTCCCACCCAGTGGCCCTTATGGTGGACGTCGGGACTTGTAGTCCGCAGCCCGTGGGTCTGCAGTCACGAGGCTCCTAAATGGTCCCTCCAACTATACTACAATTCCCAGAGGATATCGCGCCACAAGCTTTGGCGGTTTGGCGGCCAGATCCGGTTGCCAAGAGACTGCTTGGAGGCTCCGCCCCTTTTCTGTAGCTCAGGCTGGCTTAGTCCTGCCTTTATCCCATCCTGCTGTTTGGACCACCCGACCGACAGAAAGAGCTCCCTGAAGGCCTTGATTCTTCTAAGTCTGCTTGGTCCTTGAGTCTTCTCAAGGACACAAATAACAAGCTCGTCGTCTTTCAGCCGCGACCATTTGCCAAAACAGCCAAATAAATTCTCAAGAAAAAGAAGCTTTAAATCTCCCAATCAGCCTGGATTTTGAAGGCATCCGACACTACAAATCCTAGCATGCCCAGCAGCGAGACTTCCACTTGGAGTTGGCGCACTGCCCTCTGGGAACTGTAGTCCTTTTTAGTTGCAGTCCCGGCTAACGCCAGCGTCCTCTTTATTGTTCAAGCTGGTCTTTGGAGCACGCCTGCGCAATAGGCCGCTGGAGAAGCCTTTGGGTGAGACCCTCCGCACAGTCCCTTTTCATTGTCTGCGTTTGGCGCCTGCGCAGTAAGAGATCGTTGGGACTGGGCCGGCTGAAGGGATAGGGCCGGGTTCCTCGCCCTTTCCTCAGGCGCCTGCGCACTGGGCGGCCGCTCTTTGCCGTTACCGCTATGTGCGGGGCGTGTGTGGAATAACGTTATTGCCCAGCGGAGCTCAGGGCCGGGAGATCGACCGGAACGGCAGCGACGACGACGACAGAGGCGACGACGACGACGGGGTGGGGGGAGGACGGCGTGCGAGAGACTCACGGGACGCGACGCGCCCCGCCTCCCCCGTCCGGTCCCTCTCTCAGCGGTGAGGGGTAAGTGATGCGCTCAGCTGCTCGGGTTAGGCGCTGCCGCCGCCGCTGCTGCCACTGCTTCCCTACATCCTCCCGGGTTTGCAGCGGCGGCTCGGGGCGCGGCCGGGGTTGCCTGGGCCCGGCTGCGAAGGGGGCGCTTTCACGCGGCGCCCCCCCCCCCCAACCCGGGGCTCCCGCCCCTCCCCTCCCCCACCCTGCCCCCAGCCCCACCCGCAGTCCCTCCGGGCCCTTGGCCGCCTCCTCTTCCCGAGAATGTCTTGAACCATTTTCAGCCCTCTCTCGGCTTTGTGCAGCCCTCCCCCTGCGCCGGAGCTGCTCGCTACGGGTGCGGGCGGAGCATTGGAGCGAATGGCTGCGCTGCAGCTGGGGAAGGGATTTTTCCCCGACCGGAGCAGCTAACAGTGCGGGGCCTTCCGGTGAGGTTGGTTTAGGGGATGTGGGGCGGCTTGGGGGGGGAGGTCAGGCCAGGCGCCCTCTGGACGCGGTTGGAGGGCGTGGAAGACGTGGTGTCACGCACCCTGCCAGGCGACTGCACCCGCGCTGGCTCCGGCTCCGTAGTAAACCCGGGGGAGGAGAGAGTGGCTTCCTCTCGGCTTCATTGTCCTAAGATTCAAATGTGGGGTTTTGGTGTGCTTCCCTTCGTTTTATGCCTGACACAGGGCGGGAAGACGTGGGATTTGTGTTCTAAGTTATGGAACCCCGGGGGGGGGGGTTAGAGGGGGCGGGAAGGGTGGTGTTTAGTAGGGCTTCAGGGATTTATTTGAAGAATGTAAGCCCCGGAAGACAGGGACGGTGCCTGTCCAAGCATTGCCAAGGTGATAAACACATTACTAGATGGCTCTGAAGACTGGACTTAGAAAGGACTCGACGCCGAGGCTGTTGTGTAGCAAGGAAATGAACCAGCAGAATTGTTTTTTCATTGGGTGGGTAACGCGTTCATGTTCCTAAGGGAATAGACTAGGCTCTATCTTTTCGGTTTTGTTTTTTTGAGCAGTCAAAACAAAAAGCGAGCCCGGTACATTTCTGTTTCTGATTTTGTTTATTCATGCTTTCCTTCTCTTAATGAAAATTCACTCATTTGGGAGAAATGTGGTGGGGCAGATGATCGTTGATTCAAAAACGCATCTTTTAAAATGATTTCATCTTAAGCTTTCAATGCTTACAACCGTTTGCTGGCGTTAAGACAAGCGGAAGAAAGAATGAAGCAGGATGGGGAGGAGCAGGTGGAGGGATAATGGGGGAGGAGAGTTACATTGTGAATACTGTATCTAGATCTTCACTGATACAACCCCAGCTGGATATGTTTCAAAAATTTAGTAATTCAGTTGCAAGGTACAAATAATTTTCTATTTTTCTACCATTACTTTTAAAAAAGTAAAACCAGTGCTGTTTTTCATCCTTCCTAACTTTGTGGATATCACAGGATTTTGGTGTTTTAAAAACTCAAGAATCTAAGTGCACTTGACATAGAGGAAGACACTGAAACGTGGAAAGTTAACTGAATTGTCTGTCCAAGCGTCACTGCTGCTGAAAGGCAGAGCCAGATAAAACCAAGATCTGTTCCTCCAGTGGGCTCTTTTGGTTTGGTCCCTTAGTCCCCCTAGCCTGTGAAAATTTGTGGAAAGCTTCTCCACATGCTCCTTGAGTTGTCCTTAACAATCAAGTTCATTGATACCCCTAGTTATATTAACCTAGTCCTTTTCCTTGTGATGCAAAGATAATTCTACTGAAGTGGATCTTTGTTATTATAAATTAACTTACAATATAAGTAAAGATGCTCTAACGTGGGCTTTTCACACCTGACTTAACCAAAAGGCTGAGAAGCGATAACATGGGCTTTTCATAAGAAAAAAAAAACTTTTGGAAGTTTTTCCCTACTACTTATTGGTAACCATATTTTAATGTTATGTCATGATATTCAGTAGTATTTTATGGCATGATGAACTCTGTAAGCTCTGTTAAAAGTAAAATTGCCATGTAACAAGAACGTGTGAAATTCATTTTTCTTCAATTAGTGAATTACATTATTCTCAAATTAACTTTTGAGGAAAAAAAATCTAACTTTTTATCAAAATTTGTTTTTTCATTTAGTTGCTTTTGACAAAGTGCTTTTTTTGCTTTATAATCTTACCCTTTAATTCTACTTTGCATTTTAGTAGACTTTTTAGAAAGAATTTATTAATATGCCCTTTTAAATTTTAGCTTACTTAAAAATAATCTAACTAAATTCAGCATGTGGAGTTATATTAAAAGAAACTTTAAATGTATTTTATTGGTAAATTTCATTGTTCTCAATTACTTTGGAAATAACCATCTGCATGTTTTCTATCTTAGCCTTAGAATAATGACATTTATGCTATAAAGTTATATATTATACTCACTAATGCAAATATTAAAGTGTTTTTAAAAATTCTATGCTTAGTGATTTGTTTTCTTTCAAGTGTCAGTTTTTTTCAGTTATAAAACACTGAAGTTTTATTGTTGCATCTGATAGTAATCAGAATACTGCCTATGTTTAAACTTGTTAACATTTTTTATTCAACAGAATTATACTCCCATAAAATAATTTTTAGTATTTGAATTTGTAACGATCGATTTTGTTCTCTGTCGTGAACACTGGGGTTTTAAGCAGTGTCCTGTTCGAACAACTAACAGACAGCAATGTACTGAATTGCCAACGAAAACACCTGTACAGTTGCAAATTATTACGGAAGTGTAACAAAAAACAATTAGATACCATCTGAAAAATCCTTGGTGGGTAGATAATATGGAGGAAAATGTTGAGTGTTGCTATGTTTCAGTAAGAAATGAATTTCTTCTGATGGGGAGAAACTCACACCATCCTTATTTCATAAACTTACGTTAATAATCAAGATTTCCAATAATCAAATACCCTTGGTGAAATGGGATTTAATTTATTTACTTAAATTTTTTGAGGGACTGAGCTAGCCAGTATGGGCAATACAAAAGAGTAAGACATCTGTCTGGTAGTAGAATTGATTAAACTAGACAGATAGTCTGGTCTAGGTAAATGGTTATGCAAGAGTATATCTATGTTCTCCTTTTTTTGGCCAAAATGAATGACATGGCCAATATATACTGAAGGTAAAGCCCTCTTTTATGTCAAACAAAGGTAGAAAGGAAATGAACAAAAGCAAGGTTAAAGAAAACCTTAAAAAATTACTTACCTACAAATAGGGATTGTACAGAACATGAGAGTGGAAAAGAAAAGTATGCATTGCTTAGGTTTAAGAAACAATATGAGACATAGCAGAGAATGTCATTATTTGATTATATCAATAAGCAATAAGTAATATAGAATATTACCCTTTGGAACATGATATTTATTGAATAAATGACTAATATCTACATGTCTTCAAACCTACTATGTTTCAGGCAGTGCGTATGCCTGTGTGTGTGTGTGTGTGTGTGTGTGTGTGTAATTCATGCAATAGTCTTGTATATAAGGTATAAATTTACACATTTAAATTTGAGAATATTTGAAGCCTAGAGTTAGTGAATAATTTTGTCTGTCATGCATTACTAAGTGGTAGACCCTATAACTGAACCTTTGTCTTTTTGACAAAAGCCCAAATTCTTTCCACTCATCCTTTTTGGTAAATTAAGAAAGCAAACTATACTCTTTTCTGATTCACAAAACTTTAGAATTAGAGGAGACCTTAGAGTTATCTGGTGCAGTGTACCTTCTACTACTGCTCATATCCCTGAGGTCTGAGTCCAATTTCTCCAAGAACAACACTTTCATGAACAAAGAGGCATAGGATGTCTCATTTAGCTTCTGGAAAGTACAATAGGAAGATCATAATTAAATCGAGCTGGTGTCTGCTTTACTATGTAACTTCTCCCCATTGGTTATAGTTCTGTCATAAGAGGAAGATTACAATACAATACAATACAATAAGGTATTTCTTGGCCAGGTTTTTGCTTTTCTAAATTAAATACAATAACCTTACAACTTCATATGATACTGTTTCCTTTACCTTTCTCATCAGTTGTCACCTAGATTTAGTTTTGTCAGTTCTGTTCTTTTTGTTCTGGTCTA